CCCTTGGCCCCTAGTGAGAAGTTTCCCCCCCCCCCCCCAACCAGCTGAGACACCCGATTAAAAATGTATTTTTATTTTTGAAAATAACAGTGCAGAAACCAAATCACAGCATTACATTCCTCAACTGCATTACACAAACCCAGACACCAGTGAAGCATTTGACACTATGGTTTGAAGCCACGGGTACTTTGGTACAACAAAATGACATTAACAGTGGTAAGCAAGCACCACCGTCCATCAAGGGGCATTCTATAATGAAAAATAGTATTTGCATTCAAGAGAGTTTCGGTCACATTCATATCACTAGGCATAACACAGATCTGGTGAAGACAAACATAAAACATGCTTACAGTAGCATAACAGAAGGAAACATTTAAAAGGTAATTGATACAGGATAGTGGTTAGTGTTTATCTGAAAGATACCTTAACAAAACCAAAGAACAATTTAACTTCCGTAAATAAGCTGAGTAAGCTACAATAGGCTTCCTTCAGCGAACAGGATGTCCACCAAGCCCTATCGCACAACGAGGGGGTGACAACTTTAGGGGATGCTCTCTAAAGTTATAAGTAGGTACCTGCATGGAGTAAAAGCACATAGCAAAGAATAACTACTGCCATTGCCCTGAAATAGTTAAGATAACAATATTAATAATGATAAAATAGTGACAGATCTGCCCAGCACCCAGGAGAATGGTTCCGAGTCAACAACATCCCATGGGAAACAAACCAACCAACCTATCCTGTATGGGTGTGCATGGTGTGCACGCCTGTGTGCTGTGCGGAGGGGGACCGGTCTTTTACAGCTGAAGAATTACAAAAGACAGGAAAGAAACGGTGAAAATTTGGCTTCCTACTTGAAGATGCCTCAAGTCAGGTCTCGGCAGTCAAGTAAAACTGTCCAGTTTAACGTTTTCAGAGCAACATCAGTTACACCACCCCCTTTTTTTTCCCGCCTCCTCTTCTTTTTAAGAAAGATCAGAGCATGGTCTGAAGCTCCTACTGCGTTCACACCTGTACAAAAAGAGCAGCCACTTGCGTTTACTGTTATGCTTGCTACTTTTCCTCAGGTGTATACCATGCATACAAATTTTTAAATTTCAGCTCTAGACAGAGAGATATTTTGGTTTATACCTCAAGAGGCTGAATACTAGTCACATCCACAAACTGAAGTAAACCTCTTTCTTACCTTAAAACAGAGCCCCAAATAGTTGCTATTTAGTAGTTAGTTAGCAAAAATCACATATAATACAGCTTTTATTAAAGTTTCTTACATTGTCCAAGCACCTGCAATCTAAATGTATGTAGGACAACCCCTTTTACACATTCAAGACGTTAGGTAAGATTTAGCCTTCAGAAAACAGCTTAAGGCAGTTGGTTTCTATAAAGCCACCACGACAGCAAACGCTGCTGCTGCTCCATCGCAGAAGAGGCACCCAGAAACCCCTCTTTTTAGAGGGGCAAATGCCTTTTTGCCTTGAGACCGTCTATAAAAAAAAAAAAAAAAAATCCACTGACAGCAAAGGCGGTCGAAAAGTCAAATGTCACCTAAGCCCCACTACCTCCTCCAGCGCCCGCTGCCTCGACGGGGACTGGTGCTCGGCACGTGGTGCAGCAGGAGCCAGGCTCCGCGGGAAGCACAGGAGCGGGACCCGCAGCCTCGGCGCCCAGCAAGCTCCAGCAGCGCACCGCCGGGACGGGGAGCAAAGCAGCGTTTGGAAGAGAAGTTGTTGGAACGAGAGGGGGGGGAAAAAAAAGACACATTGAAAGATAGATCATAGATAAAAATCTGTGGATTGAAAGATCTAAAGATTTTTCATCTATGATCGGTCAATCTTTCATAAAATGAAAGCAGAAGCTTAAATGACTGCGAAGCCCAAGACATCAATACACAACGTGGCATCTTCCAAATTCTGCCCTTCGGCAGCTTCCCAGGCCCCGGCAGCCGCTGGGATAAATGGAAGCAGCTGAGCTTCTTCAAGGTGCTTTTAAACAGTGCCAGGTTTAGGGTTCTCCACACCTTTATATGAATCATCTGGCTACTGCTGAAGCTACCGAGATCAGTTTAAGCTTCGTAAAGGCTTCTGGACAAGCTATACTTAGGCGGCTTTGGGAAATACATTTTTTTGTTGACTGGCAACACGTTAGTGTTCTTAGCAACCTCTTTCACTCTTGCTCAGTGGACAAAAACCTGATGCCACGAAACGAGAGATTTCTTTGAAAGTGAGACAGCAAAATCTCAGATCATTATTTTCATGAATTCAAGAGATACTACAAAGGGAGTATTTTTTAAAAAAATTATGCGTAGGTTAGATGCTACACATTAAAAAAAGAATACAACTTCACTTCAGAAAAAACCCCAAACTTCCGGTCCCTTACCTACACATCTCAGGTAATTGTAAGGGACCTGTCTGAGCATCACTGCTTGGACTTCAGTCTACTTACACCTTCTGCCTGGGAAATCACCTACGGACTGCCGCAGTAGCTTTTGCATCTCTTGAGGTGCTAGGGCTTTTTACGGGCTATAAAAGGTCGTGTAGTACAGCTGGTTGTATAGTATTCCTGATATGTAGCCCTTAAGTATAACCTATCAGTTATATCATCTTTACAGTCTGCAAGCCAGATCTCTGTCCTGGTACAGTAACTGTGGCTACTGGGTTACTCGCCCAACGAGCCTGCTCCTATGGATGTACCATCTGTGCTGTTAACATGCCAAATCATCAAGCAAACGTCCTTTTATGATCTGGGCAGAAAATCTGTTGCTCTTTCACCAAAGTAGCTGGTAAATTCTCAATTTCTGGGAAGCATCTGATCATTTTATGAGCTTGCTGTTCATCAAGTTTGCAATTCTGAATCAATCAAAGCTGAAAACATTACGGAGCTTTACATTTAAACAACTGAAAGTCTACAGTCCTGCCAACCCAACCAATTTAACTTGACTTTTTAACAGAGTCATTCTTTCTCCCAGTCTGCTCCCTTCCAAGTGACAGTAGCTTAAAGCACATTAAACACTAATACACCCTGAACTACCAGCTCCATATAAGCAGAACTGCTATTCTACAAGATAGGACAGGGTAGACTAATCAATATGCTAAAATATGGATAATTTTTGAAACCAAATTAAAAAATATAGTATTTTTCTTTAATTTTGCCTCTACTTGTCTTTGCTTGTAATGAGCGATTTGCTGTTTCATTTGATGTTGCTTTCATCTGTAAAAGAAATCCTTCACGTTTTACCTTTCTACTGTAGCATATTTTTTATCCATTCCTCTGAAAGAGCTGCAGACTTCCGCAATACGTTTTCACCCAGCGTCAGGCATGTTGTGGAAGCCTGTCGTTCCAAGTCCCCACTTCACCATTTTTCCATGTTGTAGAGAATATGAGAAAGCTTCTCTCTGTTGAAAACCTGAATGAGCCGAGGCCCCAACACAACCACAGGGAGGAACTTCTTAGGGATTCCCCCGGCACGACGAAATCTGCAGTTTGCTTTCAGACAGTGCAAACGTTCACCAGTTCTTTCCCCTGTCCCACCTGGGATATGCAGTTATTTGAAGGAAAAAAAACCAAAAAGGATGGTTTCCTTAGGTGGGAGACGGGAGAAAAAATTTTTTTTGCTTCCGGTGATTCAGAAGATGCTTCACAAAATACAGCTTTTCTCTTTTTCCATAGATTATGCTCTTTTCTTTTTAAACTGTCCCTGCAGCGTGAGAATTCCTCTCAATACTTTTTCCTGTAACTCTCCAATCCCTGCTTGGATTACTGGCAACACAAGCGATGTTGCACAATTCCCTGATTCATTTGTTAAAAATTAAATCCCCTTCTTCCTCCCCGCCCAACCCAAAAGACACCCCCCCCACCCCTAACTAACCAACTTATCAGTGATTCAGTCAGGACAGATTCACAGCATTGCTTACTCTGTGCAAGTAATAAAGTTTTTCTTAATAGGCCACATACATACAATCTTTTGTATCTCTGCCTTAGAAAATGCGTGGTCCCTGATATAGATTAAGAATTATAAAGAAACGGGAATCTGTGGAAAAATGGCACAGGCCTAGAAAACCACCCACTTCCACTTCAATTTCTATAACCAGTTTATATAGACAATAAGTTCTTTCCCTCCTTTTTTTTAAAAAAATAAAGCTACTTTCCTCTATGCGGCATCCCGATCACATCTAAAATAAAGATGAGAGGGGAAGGGAGTGGGGAGGGGAAGCAAATGGGGGAGAATTTTCCATGAAAATGGCACCTATCAGGAAGAATTATTTCATCACAAGAGCCTCACTGAGACACAGGTTTTAGTTTTTAAATCAGTTCTTTGGAGGAAAAAAAAAAGCACAATCCCAATAAAACAATGCAACTTTGCTTCTGTGCATGGCTCAACAGAGCAGGTTTGGATTTGGTGGTAGGTCAACCGTTTTCTGATGAAATATTTTGATTGGCTCTCACAGTTTAGAGGTGAAGTTTAGCAGGCACACTTTTTCTCCTCCGGTTTTGCCGAATCTAGCTTTCCTGAGCTTCCTCCATTGGCGGTGTCAGAGACTTGTGTCTTGTCCACGCACTGCTCCATGCGTTTCATTATCAAGTCCAGGAGAGTGTCCACAGCCTTCTCCACGTTTTGTCCAGTAGCAGCACTCGTTTCAAAGTATGGTATGCTACAGTGAAAATGAAAAGGTTTGTTGGGAAGAATTTTTAAAACGATTGAGACTGAACTCTCTGTAATATCAGTGATGTTATTACTGATAATTAATGAAAGGAATTTGACAGATGTGGACTTCTGGTTTGTCTGGATTCCATTTCCCTCTGGGCAGAGCCAAAACTCCTGTTCTTGTTACAGGGTAATATCAGGATATAAATACTAAAAAGCCACATTAAATTGCAAAGTTTGTCCTAGCATTTTGACTTTGCATAGTGAAAAAATAGCTGGAAAAACCCTGCAGGAAATCAGAAGGTCTCCTGGGAAGTGAAACCTAGGTCTGCATTTATAGAAAATTTCAGCGGCCATGGAGTGTACTTTATCATTGCAGACCTGTAGGGCTTGTCCAACAGGAATACTTATCAAAATATTTAGAAAAAAATTACAGCAAGTCTTTCAACAGATAGTTACGTAATAGCCTGAACCACAGTGGATGAATAAAGAAAGGATAACTGTTGCCCTACTCGGAACAGGGAGAGTTCTTTTCCACATACAAGGTGGAGTGTTTGGCCCAGGTATTGAGGAGAACATCAAGATCTATTAATTCTTTCTTCCTGTATCAGCAATTTCCATAGGCAAGTTACTCCAACAGATTTAAAATTGAGGCCTTCTTATTTTAATGAAGAGGTGAATGTAAAAATTTAAGTACAGCTTTCACACCTTTCTCAGATACTCTCCAGATAACAGAATCTTTTCAAATCAGCTTAAGCTCTCACATGCAAGTTTTTCCAGGCTCCTGCTCGTTGCAGCGGCCTTCCAAAACCAAACAGAAAATCCTTCTGTTTCTACTAATTTTGTTTCACGATAGAACTGGAGCAGTAACACAGTGACATCACATTAGTGTCACCTGCCTGTTATTCTTCATGCCTCTCAACTTTAGCAAGCATGAAATCTTAACGCTCAGTGCCGGCTCTAGTGGAGCAATAAAACGCAGCCAGACGCTTGAGTGCTTCAGCTCACCTAGAGCCCAACCACGTGTCCGAGTAAAGATATACTTCCCAATATAAATTAGTCCGCACGCCACAATCTGCAGTTCCTGCAGATCTCTCACTTGCACCTTCAGTACCACTCAGCCTAGTATAAATGCCAGCATTTGCCTGTTCCAAAAACACACCAAGCTTTATTCATTCTCGATATATGAGAACCTACCCAGCTCCGGTTCTTCCCTGCACACTCCGAACTCTGCTCCCTATAAAGAACCTCTGCCAAAACACAACTTGAAAGCCCGCACAGGCTATACAAGCCATTTATGTCCACTATTTTACAGCCACGGTCATTTTTCCTGTATCGTGCCATCGTGATCTGGACGTTTGACGGTTTTGCTTGTTGCTTTCGGCTGATTCACTGGCTGGTGAAACAAAGCTCGCTTAAATTTAAGTTCACCAGAACTAATCTGCTATTTAGCAGCTAGGTACAGCTTTTGCTATTTAGCCCTCAGTGAGAATCTGTCTATTTATAAGCACAACTTAGCTTAGCTGTAGCTGTAGCTGTTTCCATTCCGAAATCCCATCTGAATCCAAAGGAGTGCCTTCTAATTCTTCTTTTTTAGCAGAGAGGACTACCGATTGCTCCAGCACTTCCAGCACATGAACTGGCGCAAGCTAACTTCTCAGCGTCCCTGTCCTCCTTACCTGCCTGTAGAAAAATCTTACTTTAATACTCTTAAGTCTGATTTGCTTATTACTCCTCACAGTCTCTCAGGCAGTCTTACGCAGCTGGCCCCATCCTCCGTGAGCAATCCCCCCTGTCTAACAATGGTGATTAAAGCAAAAAAATACATTATTTTTGCCCACGTAAGGAGACAGCACTATTTACTAACTACAATACACGGCCAATTCATGCAGTAACAGGACAGCCTGTAAGTGATAATGCTGCAAAGAAATGTGCACACACTCCTGTGTGCACTTGCCCTTGGAATACTCTCTCCTATGTTCTCAGGGCAAGCTATAATCCCAAGACTAGCTTTCTAATAAGAGTGCTTCATTTCAGTCATATTATTCATGCTGTAATATTTTAGTAAAAATATTACACGGTGTCTTCGTCTTCTACCTATTTCCTATTCAAATAGGTTGATCTGAAAGTGTGACAGGTTGGATATCACTATAGAAGATACATTCATGATACTGCAACACCTACAAATCTTAACAGTTTATAAGTATACTTGCAACTGTCTTTGGCAAGTTATCCCCTACACTTACCACAGTTATTAACTAAATTTAGCCTCTGTCATAATTTGCTCACCCATATTTGTCCGCCAGGTCTTTTGCTTGCCTTTCATTTACCTCCCTTTGGTCTGATAAATCAGCTTTATTACCAATCAACACTATATCTGGATTCTCACAATACGCATTGGCTTGCAGCTGACCTAGAAGGAAAAACAAACTGGAGTTTAGAGAATGCTGGAAATGCCTCAGAGCCTAAGATTGTTGACAAATTAATTAGAGGTACCGGAAACAATCCTCTTTCCTCCTCTTCACCCAGTAAAGAAAAAAAGAGAAAAAGGACTGCACCCTCCCGCCAAACCTCCCCGAAAACCTCCACCAACCAGAACTCTCTTATTCAGCAAGATCCACAGGGACACTGTGGAGGGATAAAATAAAATATTCCACATCTGCTACAAACGCATTTCTTTAGAAGTTTGTGACAAAATCTTCTGATGCTTTTTTCTCTTGGGCCTACTCATTGGTTTAAACACAGTTTTTCCCAGTTGAAGATCCAGGCACAAGTACTGTGGGCAGTACTTTTGGCCGGAGCTCTCTGGAAGTGGCGTTAGCCTTGCTAAGGGTCACAATACGTTTGGTTGCTCAGAGTCTGAAAGCCAACTTTGTGCAGACTTCCAAACAAAAACCTCAACGTCCAACTTTAATTAAACCTCAAGGCAGACAGGAAGAAATCACATCCTGCTTTACTAATAGAAAACACACCATAAAACTAACAGCAATATCAAGAGTACATGTGTACAAGTATCTGAAGGGAAGGTGTCGAGAGGATGGGGCCAGACTCTTCTCCGTGGTGCCCAGCGACAGGACAAGAGGCAACGGGCACAAGCTGAAACACAGGAAGTTCCATCTGAACATGAGGAAAAACTTCTTTCCTGTGAGGGTGACTGAGCACTGGAGCAGGTTGCCCAGAGGGGCTGTGGAGTCTCCTTCCCTGGAGATATTCAAAACTCGCCTGGATGTGAACCTGTGCAATATGCTCTAGAGGACCCTGCTTGAGCAGGGAGGTTGGACTAGATGATCTCCAGAGGTCCCCTCCAGCCTCAACCGTTCTGTGATTCTGTGAGTTTCCAAGCTCCTGTATATTAACTAAAATATTGGGTATGCCCAAGGAAGTGAAAAAAAGTTTTCAACAGATTTAATCGGTTGTACCGAATCCAAACAAGATTACCAGGTACATGCCCAAAATAATATACCATGGAAAGAAAGGGTGTGCATCTTTCAAACTTGATGAAGCTTTTGCCCTAAGTCACAGGCCTTCCTTGTCCATGACAATTCGGTGTAGCCCAAATAAGTAATAAGAAGGTACAACGCTCCAGGCAAAATGCACATCCTTCCATCTAGGGCAGACTTTTGGTTTCAGTGGTGCATGCAAAAACAACAAAATCACAGGCATCCCAAAACCCAGTCAAGAACAAATATGTTTTGCAGCACACAGGCTGCAAGTACCTCATTTATGGCTACACAAGACATAATAACTACTTTCTTTGAATGTTTTTCAGTTCACAAACAATGACAGGCATAATGACACCTAGAAGCCTAAAATACACAAGAAAGCTTCAAGTCAACCCATATAGGCAAGCTCTACAGTTCTACTTACTCATCCAATTTCTGACATTTAAGAAGCTCTGTTGACTGGTGAGATCAAACATCAGTAAAAAGCCCATCGCATCTCTGAAAAATGCTGTGGTAAGACTTCGAAATCTGAAGGAAGAGGGGAAAAAAAAGAAAGGAAAAGATAGCTGTATTAATACAAACGGTGCTCTAAAGTTCTGGGTAAACATATTTTTGGCAAGTCTTAATTGAATAAAGGAGACTGAGAGATGGCGTAAAGCTATTCTGAATCATTTGTGCAAAAATTCCATTAAAAATATCTTGAAATAGAAAGAGTCTGTATGATTTAGTGGACATATGCTCCCATGGAAGCAAAATCCATGACCTTCATCTTAGCTATGATGTATCACATCAGTCGATAGTTCTTAATCAGAGGGTGTTAGTAATCTACCAGAGGAAGCTCATATGTGAGAATATAAACACTGCTGGTGACTAACCTATTGCTTCAAATTCTGCCTGTCTGATTTAACTGGAAAAAAAAAAAATCACAGAGTCAAAAAAAGTTTAGAAAAGAAAAAAGATGCAGAAGCATTTAATGCATCACAGGCCACAGTGACAGAAGCGGATTCAACTGCTGAGATGACACACACTTAGTTGATGGATGCACATTGCCTAATACAGCAAGTATTAAAGACAACCGCAAAGGAAGAGTAGCTGGCTACTCTCGTGTTTTTGATTGCTCAGTGGGAAGCCCAGCTAACAGGGGAAGGTAACCTTATTTACAGGGTACGTGTGCACTCTGTAAGCAGACCTGAACGAAACGTTTAATAAGCGTACGTTCACAATTACATGATTTACAGGCTTTTTACAAAGCCATGAAACTGGATGAAACTACAGTCCGTGAAACTACAACTTTGTTTGTCACCAAAAGGTCACAAACCTGTGCAAATTAGACTTTGCATGAATGCTTTAGTCTGCCACTCTTCAGTCACTAACGCACCGCAAGGAGATGCGAACTGCATTTAAGTCTCCTGTCGACGGACGACATCAGGACTAACGTGGGACAACCAAACACACTATGAGAGCAAAAGTCAGTGCGTTTGATGGTACAGAACTGCCAAGGGAAACTAAAGAAAGCAGTATACACAGTTCTCCTTTTACAAACTAATAGGATCAAAAAACCACAAGAATAGGATAATTAGGTAAATTATACAGTCTCTTCTAGAGGATATTAACAACATATTAGGAAGCCAAAAAATAGTACAAAACAAAAAACCCCAGTGAACCCCGTGTATGCCAGAAATGAGGGCTGTGCTGTGCTGAGGCAGGCAACAGACTTCTTTTAATTCCTTCCTGTCCTGTTCTTGGAGATTCTCTGATCACTGCACCAAAGCCGTGCCCGAAAAACGTGATTTCTGACGTATATGTTTGTTGTCCCAAAATAACAAGATTTTTGAGTTTTATTCCCCCGCAACAGGTTAATGGTTTATTTAGAAACGCAAAAAAGTTGATTTCCAATGAACTGTTCAGAATTGCTGAACTCATTACCTTTCCTGTCCGGCTGTGTCCCAAAGCTGGAGATGTACCTTAAAGGCTTTTCCTGGAGATCCATTTGGTCCTCTGCTATTGTACACCTAAAAAAGAGAGTCAAATCAGTAAAACAGCAGAGCTGATCCTGAAATCCGTCGCTTGCATCATAGTCTTTGTGCAAGAACTAAGCAACAAGCGGAAAAAGTTCAGTCCTTAACTTAAAGCTGATTCTTACTACTAAAAGCCACTTCAGAGGAAGGCTTGTAATAACATTTAAAAACCCAGAAGCCACATGAAACGTCTGTGAAAGTGGCTCTTTAAAGATAACTTGGCCATATTCAGTACTTCAAATGAGATCCAACTCTGTAAAAGTTGGTACACCAGTGGGCTGAGCAAGCTTTCTACATGCAACTTCATTGCTGTTCTTATGAATTTTATAGGTGGCTGCCAGGATTAACCTCTATTACAAAGAAATATTTTTTTCCTCATTAATTCCTGTTCAACATTAATGACCTCCTTACTAACTGGGATTGCAAACTCATAGTGCTTAACCAATGGCACTTTTGCTGGGGCTCAATTCGTTATCAAAAAAGAAACGGTGTGTAAACTAACTGATATACTTAAAGTCAGTGGGAGAAAAACAAATATGATCCGTTTTTGTTATCTGGGCTCACTTAGCAGATTCTTAGCAACTTTTACAAGCAGGTAAACATAGATCTTGGCATTTAGATCAAGACAACATGGATTTTATGGACATGGCTTTATCCAGAGGCTCCGCAGGCCTTCCCCGCCCTCCCTGGGCTGTAAAATACAGCATTTAGTTATCCTGCACAAACAAATCAGTATTAACTGGGCATTGGATTAGACGACTTCTGGAAGTCCTTTCCAACCTAAATTATTCTATGGTTCTATAGACTTGTTTAAATTGTCATAATTTCAGCATGTAGCTTCTGACTGCAACTCACTTTTCCTTCCTTTGGGGCAAGTGCCAGATCTCAAAATCAGATATGAAGAAATGGATCAACCACACCGAGTTTTGTAAATTAAATAGGTTTGCTGGAGCATCTTCCTGTAATATTTTGCAACATAAACAGGGAATCAGATAAGGTCACTTTTTAAAGTGACTCTTATACAACAGAAAACCACACATTTAACCTTTAAAATCTCTTTCTTAAGAGATAGTTTATTCCAACAGACCTTCAAGATGTTTCAAAGCTGGTAATTTCACGTAAGACATAGTTTCGCCTACCCTTATAAAACATCCTACCCCAAAAACATATTGTAACGGAAGAGTTACTGCAGAAATCTGACTGCAATCTTTAGCAGAAAAGTTCAGCCCTCTCGACTGAATACAGCGTCGCCGTTCAGAGCACTTTAATGAGCCTCTGAGCAGTCAGAGAAAGAGCAATTTGCACGTTCAGACATTTCTTCGCGATAAAAATAAGCGTTAATATTCTACTCTTATTACCTCAGTGGAATCTAACAGGGAGGAGAACGAACCAGATTCCGACTTGTGCATCACATTTAACTGGCCTGAACTTACCTAATGCCGACTCTGGGGAATTTAAGATAAAATCCAGATCTGAGGTTCTTGCACTCTACCTAAGGCCTAAGGATGAATTTTCTAGTACTGCAGAGCTACAACCATCGCGTTGCAATTGTCAGGTTCCCTAGGGACCCCACCACCCCTAGAGAGCGCCCTGACCAGAGCGCACGCAGATACGCTGACCCGGTTCAAGCAGGGGACCAAGGCATGCACAAATTACACCTGAACCCCCTCCAGGCGGGTTGATATTGCCAAGACATTTGCTTTCAGTCAGCTATTTCGAAACTGGGAAATATTTTAATAACAAATATCGCGAATGACTTTTAGGTCTTGCATTAACCTGACGAAGGGCTGAAAAGCGCTTAGTTTTGTTCAAAGCAAACAGCATAAAGTTTTGTCAGAACTGCAGAGCTTTTCTCGGGTCAAAGGATTAGCTTTTAACACATCCCCCTCGCCAGGCTGAAAAACTCTCGATAAGCAGCGGCTCCTATGCCAGTTAGTCCCCTCTGGATTGTCAAGACTTACAAACGCTTTTCATGCAAAACTCTTGAAGTATTTCACCTAAGGTAAAAAGCAGCAAATTTAAACAGGTCCCCGTCTTTGAACTGGGGAAGTATTTACAACTTTCACCAAGGAAATGTCTAAAATCACTGTCCAGGGTCTCATATCTTCGATATATTACGCTTTTACAGTTTCAGCAAAGCACAGTTGTGACTATTAGAAAGTTGAATTTTTAGTTCAACTATTTCTAGTTCCTTCACTAGCGTGCTGTGTGGTCTGGAAATAAGTTGAAGCCTCTGCACTTCTACTGGTTTGCATCTTTTCTATTTAATTATGAGTTTTGGGGCGAGGGTTATTTTTAGTCTCAAACAGATCTCATTCGCTAGCACTGTGCAACTCTGCTCTCGGAAAGATCCTTTAATAACAACATATAACAAACCAGTGCACCCTCAAACAACAGCATAAGGATAATGGCATCTTTCCCTTTTACCCAGTTCTTAATTATGACTTGTTTGAGCCAAAACCTAGACCAGGAAAAGCATTATCAACACGTGCTACATCCTACAATAAGAGAAGCAGTATGTATTTACATACAATTTGTCCTCAGTAAAAATGAAGAAAAAAGAAAAAAAAAACAGCAGACATTATTCGTCTGAGACAACTTACCACTCGTTTTTCCCGAAAATCTATCCCTACTGTCGTGATGAATTTTGGATTAAATTTGTTATCAGTATATCTGTACAGGAACGTTGTTTTTCCAACCCCAGAGTCTCCGAGGGCCAGGAGTTTGATCAGATAATCATAGTCTCCATCAGTCATAGTGCTAATTTTTAGGAACCTACGCAAAGAGGAGAAAAAATGGATTTTAAAAAAAAAAACCCAAACCCCTTTCTGTTTGTTTTTGCTTCATTTATATTTTTGTCCATTGAAATGCTGCTGCCTGTAATCAAGGTTACAAGTTACGTTTGCGTACTTGCTAATGGAAAGAAGCAGTAAAACTCGTAATTTCAGTTCAGGCGACGTGGTAATGCAATTCACACTTTCAGTTTTTTAGATAGGATTGGAAGCTTAGACTGAGAGAGCTTGGGACAAAAATTTTATTTTTGTTCTGAACACTGCTGTAAGGCTGTTTTAAAATGAGCACAGATATGAGACAGAGGGCTAAATCTTCCTACTCAAACTATTCTGAGTTTCAAGAAAAAGGGAAATGCGGAAACAAGCCTGAAAAGGGAAACCCAACCATGGCCCACGTTCTGGCATGCTGCCAAGAAGAGTCCCCGCAGACAGCTCAACGCATGAGAACTCTGTTCTTTTCCAGGTTAGCTAGACTCCCATCAGGGAAATTGGACATGCTTTTACATACTTCCAAGACCGGGTGTCTCCTACAAACGCATGAGCTATGTGATCTTCTCTGCCCAATTCAGAAAGCTTTGTTGTTCTTGACAGCCACCTTAAGGACACCAGGATGCCAGTTTCTTTTAGGGATTTGCTGTAGAATCTGGAGGCTCTGTCACATGAAACACTCCTTTAGACTGTGGGCTTATTCTCTGCAAAGGCTGTAAAATATTGCTGATACTATGAAAAAAATCATTTGGGCCGCAGAAAAGAGTTGCCAGACAGGACAAGAATCAGTGAGAAAAGGTCATTAATGGTGTCACCATTCGGCACTACCAAAGGACAGCAGTGGCCAACAGGCCATGCCCCAAGGAGATTCCAGAAATTTTGTTCTGTAGAAAATATATTATTTTCTTATTTCAAAGGCATTATTGCTATTCTAATTTGATCATGTACAAATTTAATGACAGTCTCCCCCCACCCTCAACCCCAACAAAATTTGAGTTAGGCACTTCAAGAAGTTCACCTGATGATTATCAAACTTCAGTGTTCTGCAGTCAAATAGGGGCAAAATTCACCCTTCCATAAAGATGAACGGATCAGGTCTGAAATTTCAAGTGACACTAACAGGAAGCAGGGATCCAAACAAAGCACTTAGTAGACAGATTTTAGTTGGGGAAACCCTAACTAGCAGCAATATGGATCGCGTCGCAACTGGCTGCAGCCACTGAATCCGTCCCGTAGCTCCCAGATGCCCAGTCCTCCCAAAGTCACAGCTACTCACGAGCTCTCATCTACTTGTGAGCTGCCCAGCTGGAGGCCGGCTGACGTCCACAGGCACACATTCGCAACAGAGAGCGCCCACAAGATGGCAGCCAGAAGAAGGATTCAATGAGAACACAGGGTTGACCGTGGCGATCCAGGACAGGGCTCAGCCATCTCTCTGCACTCCACCAGCCTCTTTTATCCCTTCTATTCTCCCAAGTCTGGTCCTCCCCAAGCCACCTTGATCCCTCCTTTTCCCCACTCTTGGTCCTCCCCTAAATGTCCCATAATAAGTCTCATGCATTTCCCAAATCCCCTTATAACATCCTGTAATACGTTCGACACGATCCCCAAACAGTCTTCGCCCTGCATGCCGTAATGAGTGCTCTGCCCTTGAAGGCAATAACCCTCCCCAGTTTGCATGGCTTTCTGGGAGGAGTGTTTCTTTGGGTGCCTCCTCTTGGTGGCTTTCACAGCAGGGACTACAGGCTAGCTGATCTCCCTTGATGGTTTTAGGAGTAGCCGGTTCGACGTGCCCAGTTTTTACTGATTCACTCACATGTCCCCTCGTTCCTCCGCTCCTCAGAGAGCCCGTGTTTAGCGCGATTGGGCATCAGTCACATAACCCGATACAAGACTGAAAGACCAGACTAGCAAGGACCATTTTCAGAGTCCAAGTTCTAAACAGCATTTCGTGAAATTATCAGGGCTATGTATTTTTTTATCTTGAAAAAAATGCGTTCCCCCCACCCCAAAAAACCACTAAAGACGTAGAGCAAGCAATTATCCAAAGGTCACTGTTAATATAAGGAAAAAGCTCAAATACAGTTTATTTGCGAGTATAACTGGTTGAGTGCACATCTGATCTGTTCTGTGAAGCACATAGCAAAAAACCACCCGCAATCCAATGTTGCAGATACTAACCAGAGGTGAAGAAGAAAGAAAAGCAGATAGCAAACCCACAGCGTGGGTTCAACCCTGTTCCTCAGTTAAGTTGCTTTTTTTATTGCAAGTCAATCTATTTTCTGTAGGTCAGTAGTAATCACTTAAGAGCAGTGAATGTCCTCAAAAAAACCCACAAATGCTTACACTCATTCTACAGTACTTTTAGGGTGTTTTCCATATGTAGCAGTAAACAAGACCAGCAAATCCTACCTTATTAAGCACTTGTAAAACAAACATACATGTCAGGAATTACAGGGTAACGTAAATTCACACAAAGAGGAACATCAGATCTGCCAGGCCTGCTTCACGCCCCAAGCAGAAGTTCCTCGAGGCAAATATACACAGTAGCAACAATTTCTGTGGGATTTTCACGGCCCCACGCAACGGTTGCCGACCTGCCGAGTCAAGTGACACAATCTCTTTGGAAGGGAAAGCGAGATAGGCATGAGGGACAATTTCCAGCCTTTGGTTGCACTTCGCAGCTCCTCTCAGCTGGCCACCTCGATAGACTGGCTGTTTGCAGGAACATTCAGCCTCCCACTAACAGACACGTTCCTCCTCCCCCCAAACCATTAAACCCTGTACGCCAGCACGAACTACTCTGAGAATCACCCACAAAACATTCAACATCTGGTATGCATCAAAACCATTCCCCTTTTCGGCATGACCTGTGCAATCAAATATGACTTTGTTGATTATTCTTAACAAACGTTCTTAACTAGTTTTGTAGAGAGAACATTCATCGGATTTTTTTTTACTGGCTTGGCCAAATCTTCTACTACAGGAGAAGAGCAGCCTTTCACCAAAGAGGTGGGTGGCTTCCCTAGAATTATCAGCACCTTCAACATTCATCACTTTTTCTTATTTATTTTTTATTCCTCCATGCCTAGTCTCAGTCAATCTCAACTGGATTTAATCTGTAATCCTGGTGCTTCTGCACTTGGAGAACAAACTTGAAATTAGCACTAGCTGGAATACAGCTCTCTTAACACATAGGAAAATTAAAAATTAATACCGCTGAAATAAATGCCCTTGGTATGCAGCAACAAGACCTCACAAGAAGAGGGTGATTTTTTTCCATCTCAACATAACAGAAAGGCACTACCCAAGGCATCTAGCTCTAAAGGGAAAAGTCCTCGTGTCTCGCCTCAGACCTGCTCAGGTCCCTCTACGATTTCCATGCTGGTCTCCCTGTCTGAGATGAGGACCATAACCACCAGCCTACTGGCTGCTTGGAAAGAGGGCAATTGCCCTCCTTCCCTTTACCAACGTTTTCATTAACGGTGTCTTTCCACAAGATGTTTCAAACTTGATAGGTTTCTCTTCTACCAGAGAAAAATAAAACAAAACAGAAAACCCCAACCAGCTCTTAAGTGTTAAAAGCAGCTCTACTATGAAAATTGTGGCAAACTATGAACGTTTCACTCTCCTCCCCTCCAATGAGACCCTCGCTATTGTTTCTAACAAAACCAAAATACCTTCCAAACACAACCAACTTGATATTCGAGTCTAGCAAACTGAGTTGGGCAGGAAGAGGAGGATTCAATAGCATTACACTGCCTCCCAGCAGCGCCTCCTGAGCTGCCAGCGGTGGCCAGCGGGTCACAGCTCTCTCTGGTCGCAAGAGATCAGAAGTTCCCCTGGACTGAAGGCAAAGAAAGCATCCTAGTTTTAATACAAACGCGCCATCAGCCTTCATGGTCAGTGTTGTTTTAGTCCAAACATAAAACTCTCGTTAGTTACTGTATTCACTTTATTAGTGTTTGCTATTAAATTCTACGGGGGGAAGGAAAGGGGACGTATGTGAGAAACGGACCTGTAAAGATATTTATTCACCCACATGAAATGCCTTGACAATGAAGAAGCTGGAATTATATGAAACACAAGCTAGCTGACGTTCTCTTTTACTTAGTTCTCAATACACTGATTCTTAATATATTTTGCTTTTTTCAACATATTGAATGAACATCCATTCTATTCAGACCTCTGTATTGTGACTGATTACTGCGGCATCAGCCCAGGAAGCCGTGGGTCAAATTCCATTGACGTAAACTCCTATTTGTGTCAGTACAAGTCCTTAATTTCCATCAGAATAAAACCTATCTTCTTGGGTATTTAAATTAAGAAGCACTGAGCTGCTTTGACTAAAACGGAGAACTAAGCCCATTCTGACCATCCTATATTTCAACAGCTTTAAGGATACAAAAGCTGGCCGTGTACTGAGCAGTTTCATTGTACGCCATGCGTATCTTTGACAGATATAGTCACCCAGAGAGGCAGGACAAGCTTTTGAGAAATGTATTTTCTGATGGCAAAGGAGTCAAGAATTTAGAGAAGAAGTCCCGTCGGCTGCCAGCTTTGCCCTGGCTGCCTGGCGCTGTGCTCCGCAGAGGAAGGCCAGGGCACCGCCACAGAAATTAATTCAGTACCTTCCACGTTTTCCAGCATAACTCAAGCTCACCACAGGGCTCTGCGCAGACAGAAAGAACAGTTCCCCCCTCTTCACGTAGCTCATCAGAAGTTTGAGGATTATTAAAATCAAAATTTTTATCGTCCACATAAAAACTGTTCTTTGGATATTTCATTCGATAAATCAGAAAAAAGGAAGGCATCTTGGGAAGTGCCCCCCCCCCCCACTTGACTGTTACGAAATATTAATTTGAGACTGGGCACCAGGCCCAAACATCCATGTTCTTTGGAGTTGCAACTTCTCCTTGCCATGTAGCACGCACATGCAAATGTGCAGAGATGAATATTCAGAATTTACTCCATCTGTAAACATTGAGCAAAATA